TATTTACTCAATCGAATTCTTGAAATATTAACGATTGTGGAGAATGTTAACAAATTTTGGCTGAATATTCTGGTAGACGTTTTGAAAATTTCTATTACATAATAGTTCGACTGGAATTTCAAGAAATTTCGTGATTGAAAATTGAAAAGTTTATAGAAAAATTAATGAAAACTGTACATCATTTCAGTTAAATTATACATTTCACGAAAATTGAAAGAAGTCAGAAAAATTCGTGTAAATATATTCTTGAATTTTCATTTGATTGAAAATTGAGGGTAACTGGTTGCCATTGCTTTCATTGCACTGATTCCAATTGATGAGTTGTGATTGAATATGCTGAACAATTAGGTTTTCCTTGTTTTTTTCCGCTCCCCTATCTCAAAATAATGTTTATCTGTCAAACCAGGAATGGCAAATACCGTCGCGTTTTAAAATTCATCATGTGGTAAAACAATGACCCGTTATGCGCCGGTCCGGAAACGTCACTCTTCCTCATGTCTTAATTTCGGTCATACTTATATAGCCCTGCTATCCCAAACGAACTAACTAGATATAAACTCAGTTAATGAACCTTTCGGTCATGAAATTTTGTCGCATTTTATAATGATTCTTATTTTCAACAAGTGATTTCGATTTAAATAGACGGATTGTATATGTTTTACAATCCACTCAACGCTTCATTATTCTGAAACCATGGAGCTCAATTGTTACAAAAAGAAATGAAATGAAATGACACTGAATACGATTTAGGGGAGAAAAATCATGAAATTTCAGGTTTCACTAGAAAATCAGTAAAATTTCAGAATTTTAAGCAGCATAAAGACGAGAATTCCTTAATTTATTTGAATTACCAATCTAATATGAATATTCAGTGCCAAAGTACATTGAATTTTCAGTGAGATCTGAATGAATGAATGAATGAATGTGATTTCTTTCTCCCTAAATCACATTCAGTGTCACTGTCCTGAAAATTCAAGAATATATTTACCGGAATTTTCTGGTTTTCTATTCATTAGGGAAAATGGAGCTGAAATTCACAACTTTCTTTGATTGAAATGAATTTTCGATGACGAAATTCCTTGAAATTTCAGTGCTAATTAAATTCGGTAAAAATTTCCAAAAAGGGTACCGGAAATGTCAGGCAAAATTTTTTATCAGCGTATCTCCGAATCCCAAGTTATATTATCACTAGTTGGCTGTAATATGGCGGTTAGATAATAAATCGGTCGTGATATTGTCATGTGATGAAAATTTTTCATATTGTCACTCATCTCATGACGGTCACTCACGTGTCCCATGACGGGTCAGTGACATGTAATGTTATTTTTTTACATCCCTGTCACATACTCAGTCGAGTCCCTCGCGGAAGGCAGTCCAGCAAACGTCACATAAAATGAAAATAACGTTCGGTTAACAATTAAAAACCGGAATGAGGCGAAATAAGGATTTAAGGTGGACAAAAAAATTGTATCTCATGGCTACGGAATCGTGCTTTGTTCGAGCGTTGGCGCCGTGGAGGTGAATACACGCACATTAAACTCTTTGTCCCCCAAGTTGTTTCTTCAGCGACACGATACCACCGGGAGGACTACACGGAGCAATTTCCAATTATACTGAACAGTGTACGCGAACATCGTGAGAGGTCTCCTAATTGTTGTAATGAGGTGGACGTTATCGAGAGTTATTGGATTTATTCTGGGGTGATTTATTTTATCGCAGGATCATAAAAATTGACAGATTTAAATCATGAAAAACTTGTTTACCTCTTTATTCTCGGACTCAGTTGTGAGTGATGGATATGAATATCATCACTGTGAGTAATAATAATGATAAAAAAAGGATTTAAAAAATTATTATTATCATGCTTCTATTATAAATTATCGACTTTTTGGAAAAATCACTGATGAACTGATTTTCATAAGTTCTTTACTTTGTACTTGATTTGAAATGATTCTGTTGAAAGATTGAAGTTACTTCTTTTTACTTGAACAATTGATATTACCCAGTAAAAACAATTACTCCTTATGCACATTATTTTTAGAACTCAATTGGGGGTCCAGCCAATTTGTGTTTTATGAATATGTTCTTGTGAATTTCCATCGATTTTCCCATCAATTTTTAATTTCTCAAAACGTTGTTAGAAAATTATCCCTGAAATGTCAAGTAGAAAATCTTGAAATTTTTAACAATCACTCATTCATACGAAATTTTCATGTATTTTCATGCATTTTGTTTCTGAAAAATCAGCTGAATTCTGGAGTATTTAATGGAATTTCAATTTCTTGGTCCACATGATAATGAAAATTATTAAATAATTTGAAAGCTCACTCAACAATTTTCCTGAATTTTCAATCTATTTCCTCAATGAATTTGGAAAATTCTACATGTTATTGAAATATCAGTGATAATCTAACATGGAAAACTTAATTATCTTGAATTTTCAACCTTTATCGACTTCAGTTACCACTGAAAATTTAAGGAATTTCGTCACTGAAAATTCAGGATTTCGTGGAAAAATCGAAGAGAACTGTAAATTTCAGTTTCATTTTTTCCCTGAAAATGAATAGAGAACCAGAAAATTCCGGTAAATACGTTCTAGAATTTTCAGGATAGTGAAACTGAATGCTATTTAGAGAGAAAAAAAAACAAAATTTCAGGTTTCACATAAAAATTCAATGCAATTTGGCACTGAACATTCATATCAGGTTCGAAATTCAAATAAATTAAGGAACTCTCGTCTTTAGGCTGCTTAAAATTCTGGAATTTTACTGAATTTTCAGTGAAACCTGGAATTTCATCTTTTTTTCTCCATAAATTGCATTCAGTGTCACTGTCCTGGAAATCAGTAGTCGACTGTCCATGAAATTTCATTTTTTTCCTAACAGCGTATCATATTTAATTCATTCGGAATGATTACATTGAAACAATGAAATCCGCAAAGTTTTTAAATTCAAAAATGATTATTGCCCACTAAAAACGCATATTCCACACGTACATTATTTTCGGTGTGCTTTACATATACATAAAATCGTTTCTCAGTGCCGTGTAGGTACATCGTGACTGGATTCCACCTACGTCAGAGTGTCCACTTCCAATGTATAAAACTGAAACAGCAGAGTAGGATGATGAAGGCGAGTGTATGGGTTTGAAAAAAGAGGAGAGTGAAGTCGAGAGGAGAGTGAAGTAACAGAGATGGGAGGACGGGGTGATCGAGTGAGGGAACGAGATGGCGAGGATACAAAACAGCGAGAAACTCGAGGGGGGCAAACGCGATGTGTTGGGGCACGATCTCTGGCAGTTTGCATTGCAAGACGGTCAGTTTGAGACTCGCGGTGAACCGCGAAGGGTGGGACTAATACGAAGCAACGCGCGCGCCTGCATCTCTCAGGATGCAACGAGTCCCTTCGTTAGTTCGTACAGTGTAACGATTTTTTTAATAGGTTTTTGATATTTGTGAGGAGGTGAGCAACATGTGAGCGTTTCAGAGTGCTTGGGAAGGTGAACATTTTCCAGGGATCATGAAATGTAGGTGCAAGTAGAAAGTCCTGCAGTAGTCGGACATCAATAGGTTCTTAAAGGGGGATCACACGCTGGTACACGGGTAGAAGTTTCTTGAAATTTCCGTCACAGCTTCATCTGAATTCTCAATGTTGTGGGTTTGAATTTAATTTCAAATGAAAATGTTCATAAAATTTCCCATTCGTTTTGAAAATTCAAGAAAATCAGGTTTTTCATGGTAAGCGATTATTGATATTTCAATGACAGCTTGAATTTTCGAACTCATTGTCAATATTAAACATCAAATGCAACGGAATTTTTAATAGATTGAGAATTCAGGGAAGTTTTAGCGTGAATTTTCCCAATTTTCAATATTTTTCAATGCCACAAGGATCTGGACATTGAGAATTACTTGTTAATTACTTGTTAAAAATTTTAAGCTGTTTCACTTGAAATTTCAAGAGTCATTTTCTAATAGTTTTCCTGCATATTAACGATCGAGATAAGTTTTGAGATGAAATCCCTCTCGTTGCAATGCACCAAAACTATCAAAAAGTTTTCTATAATTCTGAAGCACTCGGGGCATTACGGCAGAATTTTTGACTGAAATTTCCGGTACATTTTTTGGAAATTCTGAGGTATCTTGTTACTGAAAATTGACAATTCGTTGAGAAAAATCAATGAAATCCGTAAATTTCAATTCAATTATTCAATAAAAATGGATAGAAATCAGCAAAAATAATTGAAAATTCAGCTGAATTTGGTACTGCATATTAATATTTCCTTGAAAATTAAGATTCTCGTCTTCCCGTTCCCAAAAAATTTGGAATTCCCCTGAGACTCCAATGAAATTTCAAATTTAAAGATCCCCCCCCCCCCCGCCCGAAATTGAATCCAATTTCCCTCTCCTGACAAGTACTCCACAAGTCCCCATGAAATTAATTTGTTTTCCAGCAGTATAATTCCCAATGCGCCCCCAAAAATGTCCCTGACGAATAAACCACCGCTATTCCAAGATATCCATCAAAAACTGATGTTTAAATAAACTCAACTTGTCCTGTTCCACCACATCCCAACTGAATGAAATCCACCTAATCCTTGAATCATCACATCGTGTTTTAGGAAATGAGTACTTGGCTGACGTGCCAGCCTCCGCCACTCGCTGTCCACCGAAGGCACCCAGTCGTGTGCGAATGACAAAAAAGAGAAGAAAAAAATCAATACAGCGTACATCGTTAGCTCACAATCGTGCTTTGAGCATTATCTTTAAATGGATCGTGACACTTGATCGTCAGTGCTGTCCATAAATTTTAAGTTCACAGGGAATCATTGCAACATCCAATGTGTAACGTTGGTTAAAGAGTGAGACACCCTGTCATTGTGTCCTCCAATCGTGTGCAAACCAATCAGAGGTCGTTCTGGAGAGAATAAAAAAAAAAGAAAAAAATAATTTCATGAATGACCGGATTAAAGAGCACGAGACCTTTGTGGATGTTGACGCATTGAGACAGTGATGCGAATTACACTAATGAACGAACTCGATTGAACAAAGGAAAAAATATTAATCAATCAATTGTGAAAGAGGTCCAACGAGAGAGCGAGTTGAGCTCGTGAAGTTGAAAGATGATTTATCAGTCGACTCATCAATCCCCCACGATGTCCTCCAGCCGAAAAACATCGCCGCGTCCTCAGCACCGCAAGTTCCAGTCGATGGCTGCTAAATCATCGGTGTCTTCTAACTCGAGGGGCAAGAGGGATTGTGACAGGCCAGCGGAACGTTGTCGGGGTAGATGTCGCGTTCAGTGGAGTGAGAAGCATGTCAAAGAGGGCTTGGTGCTTGTGCAGGAGGCACAGCTTGCACGAGTCGTTAAAACTGGTCCTATTGCTGAACATTATGAGATTGATCCTAAACCATTTGCTAGGTGAGATTAGGGGAATTTTGGATTTTAAGGAGATTTGCTGCCCGCTCATGATAAATGGACACATTATTTTTTTTGTTTAAATGAGCCTTTACCTTATTTAAATTATCATTCCTACACACTGATAGAAAGAATTAGTTATTGTTAACGAATGGATTTGGTTGGAGACGAGGGTCTATTCGGTCTCACCAAATGAAATGTTCATTCGTTAATAGCTAACAACTGCACATCTGAGGAGCCTTGTTAGACTCGTTTTTCACTTTTCAAGTGAACCATTCGTTAACTATTAACGAATATTCATTTGGTCATATTCAACTCTACCATTCGTTAATAGTTAACGAATTTCGTTTGGAATAAATGAATCAGGCTGTCAGTCTGTTAGAAAAAATTACTTTTGGCAAAGATGATTTCTTTGATACTAGAAAATATTCTACTGTCAATTTCTAGAATCGTGAAATCTCCTGCTAAAAAATTTTGTGCTCACACTGAAAGAAGGAAGTCTTTCAACAAGATGAGAATCTCTTGTCCCAAGAAAATAATCACGCAATAATAACGCGTAATATCATCACGTAATTTATGTCACATCATAAGACATGTTAAAACTATTTGGATATCAGTTCGTCTAAATTCGAATTCTCCAAGATTTTATTTTGCTCCTTCGAAACCAGTAGACAGTTAGTACATCCTCAAAATATCCATTCAGATATTCACTGAATAAATAATCGAGCTATTACGATGATATTATGATAAAATTCTTCAAATCTCCATAACAAACGTGTCCATGAGAAATCGTGACAATGAAAAGTCGTGTTGAGTCGTGGAGGAGTACTATTACGACAGGTATTTAAGGTCATTGACGTCATCAACTTTGACGCATCGTACCTTCGAGTTCACCCACCGGAGAAACTAAAAAAACATTTGGAAAAAAAACATTCTATTTATTTACCAATCGGCACTGATCGATCGTCGAGAACTCGTCGAAAATCATTAGTCGTTTATTGAAGTGCCTCATCCACTTTCCACCTCTCCGGGTTCTCCGTTAGACGACGCGTGGGCACAAAGAGTTCTTCGATTTTTTTAATGTGGGCGAAGAGGACGGTTACAAATTGCCTTAGACGCAAAATTTTTTTTCACGCGTTCGAATCCACCGATGAATGTCTTTTCATTAATTTTTTTCGATACTTAATGAGTAAATACCGGTATATCGGACAGAATGATCTCGATTTTCATCGGCTTTAGGGGCTAACGGTTGCTTAACGCAGACGTGTCGCATGATATTTAGAAATCAACGTTGACAGGATCATTGATTCTGAGGATTTGATGACTATTTTCGATCGATTCATCAAGGTCTTTGAGAGGAAAAAAATTGATGAATAGGTTGTTTCGTACTTTTAATCGTTGACCTGTCTCAGAACGTAACTTTCCATAAAGAAGATGATTTTATCAACGTATATCCCTAGAAAACACGTTTTTCTTAAGATTGTCCCCCTATTTTTCACAGATAGTGTTTATGATAGTTCCCAGCTATTGAAAAAAATGCTAACCAGGTGTACTACAGTTTAGGAGATAATGAATAAGGAAATGCAGACTTCTAACACGCGAGGCATAGGCCAAATGTTCTAAAAAAACTAATTCGTGGTAGATTGATAATATCGAATACGGTGAATTTTTTTGTAAAATTTTGTACTACATAGTTTCTGCGATATTCACCTCTAAAAAATGGAAATTTTGTCAAAGCATTCCTTACTTGATTAAAAAAATTAGTTCACAAACAATTTCTTATTTGATTCAAACACACTGATAGACTGATTCATTTATTCCACACGAGATTCGTTAATTATTAACGAATGGTTCACTTGTCCGGTGAAAATCGAGTCAAACAAGCCTTCTCAAATGTGCGTTTGTTAACTATTAACAAATGAACATTTGGTGAGACCGAATAGACCCTCGTCTCCAACCAAATCTATTTGTTAACAATAACTAATCCTTTCTATCAGTGCAGTTATTGTTGCCTGCATCAACAACACATGAGAATAGAAAAACTCAATAACTTATGAGACTGCAATAACTGAAGTCATTTCCAATTTAGTACACTGACAGAGCGGTTTAGTCCAACCAAACGCGACTTGTTAACTATTACCACGATTCGTTAACTATTAACGAATCGCGGTAACAGTTAAGAGGCCTCGTTTGGTGCAACTGAATCGTTCCACTTTTTCTATCAGTGATAGAAAAGTGGTAAAGGGAGATAAGTCAATTTTGACTATTGATCAGTTTTCAATCAATATGTCGGAATCTAAGGGGCATAGCAAAATTTTTGTTACAACATCTTTTGTGGAGCCGATTGAGTGCTACAACGAATGTAATTGCGAAAATTTCGCTATCTCCCTTAGATTCGGAAATATTCCTCAAAAACTCAACTGGGAGATAAGTCAACTTATCTCCGTTTACCACTTCACTACTGAATTTTTTTCGAATCAAGAAGAATGTACTTGATTCAAGTATATTTTATAGTCGATTGAAGGATATTTATTTCCCGTATAGAGCAATTATGAAAACATTCTTTCTAATTTTGTTCCTTGTACCAGCGATAATATTTCTGCAAGCCCAATAAATTTTCCACAAATAACGTCGATTTCAACACCTCATAACCCTCGTAATTCACCGCCAATCAGTAACCCCCAATTTCCCGTAATTATTGATTACACCCTGACGCAAATTGCGGCGGCATGTGTATGATTTCCCTCCCATAAAAACCAATCCCCATAAAGATCCGCGGGTCGTAAAAAATATTAACGGAAAAAAAACGTTATCCGGAGAGAAATAATGAGAAGCTATTTACTGAACATTCCGGTAATTACTCAGAGAGGCGAAGCCTTGCAAGGTCAGCCGAATGGAGTCGACTTTTTCCGAGACACTTTTGGGCTACAGACAGGCAAATTGGGTCTCTCATTTTTTATTCCCGTTATTTCTGAACACGACACGAAATTTCAATTAAATCGATTTAATTAATGGGTTCAGACTATCAAACAAATAGTTTGAGTTTAATAGAGTGTAAATAATTTCTCACTTTACTGTCACTGAAATCATAACAGTAAACTGTCAATATGGTTCCGTTATTATAGTTTAGAGTTATTTTAATTAACCACAACTCATATTTTTCATCAAAAAAATTCAACATTTCCCTTTATCTAATTTCAAACTAATTACTCTCCAAGTAATTGCGCCTGCGTCATTAATTATGCTGATAGAAAAAATTATTTTTATTGAGATGTTTCTTTCTTGAAACAACTATTATTTACTTGAACCAATTTTAAATAAATAAGATCTTACGGTGAATATCAATTATTTCTTCTTGAGATACATTTACTTGAATCAAATAAAATAGTCCTTGGCGTCAAGTCGCATGTATTCACCACAAAAATGGAAAAGTTTTATTTTTTTTAACCTAACATAATCTCCAGTCGAGAAATTTTCTACTTTCATGAATTGATAAAAATTCGTACCTAGGAGATGATTACATTGAGGACTGAATTGAATGTTGCTTTCTCGAATGAAGCCGATATTTAAATTGAGCTTTCCGTACATCACATCGAACGAAATTTGTAATATCCAAGTTTGTGTAGAATTGCCGTAATCTGCGATTCTGTTACTGTAAACTAATGCGATTTTTTTAGTCAACAAATATAAACTTCTTTCAACTCAACGACATCTTAACTATAATCTCAAAGCTTTTTCCGCGTAACAATATTCATTCTGATTCGACATACGAAATGCTCACTTCAATTATAATTTACTTATGGAACAACGTATGATCGTGTTGATTGAGATGACAACGTATTTAGTCATGAGAATAATTTTGATTTTTGAGTAAACCAACGAACGTCGGGAGTGAGCAAACTTTTGACTAGAAAGAAATCAAATACTCTCATTATTGCGACAAATAAAAGGAACTTCAATTCTAGAGAAGCTCGATTTCTCCCAATCAAATGTATTTCCATAAGTGATAACTGGTATTCACTATGAAATCATGTTTATTTGAAAATCAACAACCAAATGACAGTTGGTTCAAATAAAATTCTCTTGATAAAATTAATTTTTTCTGTCAGTGTAACTGATGGCTTCAAACTATTAAATAAATAATTTGAATGTAATAGCGTGTAAACAATTTCCCAATGCGTTATAACGGAAATAATATAAAAAATTGTCAATATTGGACTGTTGTTATAGTTCATAGTTACGTGTATTGACGATCATTCATATTCTTTATTAAAACAATTCAATATTTCCATGTATCTAATTTGAAACTAATTACTCTCCAAGTACTTGCGCCTGACAGACATTCGCTTGCATTAATCACCAATAAATTATTTTAAAAACTCAACTGTAACGAATCAAACTCACGAAATGCGCCACAAATTAGAACGCATTGCCCTCGAAATTATTTTCATATCACCAGACACCACGAATACAATTGGATTATCATTTGCCGGACGATATAATGCCCCGAGGTATTACTAACTCATGAAGGCAGAATTCAAAGGACGAAAATACGGATGTAAATTCACGGACATGAGGCTTAATATAAGAAGTTTCACGACTCATTCTTTCTTTTTGGTTTTTATTCGTGAGGAAATAAAAATATGATGCACATACTGCAAGCAGCCTTGGTGGGGCGCCGCGGCGCCCGACCTTCGTCGGTGAAACGCTCGGAATCTTCAAACATGAAAGTACTTTAATGCCGTGGGTTTATTGAGAGAATTAATTGATGTTTATCCGAATTTTATTTATGTTTTTTGGGGAATATTCGTGGTTTATGCAAAAGAAGAAGTTTGTGTCATTCAACTCAATAAAGTTGTTGACTTTTTCCATGAATTTTACGGTGAAAAAATTAGAAATTCAAGTTTCTATTTTACATTCTAGTCTAACATTTCCAATTTTTCATTCTGTTTCTCTAGTGGCCAATGGGCAAAAGTCTATCGCTGCAGGTCGCGCTCAACAGGTACCCTCTACGCCGCAAAATACTCATCCCGGAATCGATTCAACACCGATTGCAGTGCAGAGTTGCGTCACGAAATAGCACTATTATCCCTGTGCTCCCAGTCTCCTCGAGTCGTTCGACTCCATGATGTCTACGAGACTCCAAAGGAAATTATCCTGGTCATGGAGTAGTGAGTGATTCAATATTATTCGTTCACACGAAAAACGATAAGGATACATCAACCCGTGCTCATTTTTAGTGTATTTTACCACTTCCTGAGGGTATTCCACTGTTGAAATTCAACAGAAAAAATTCCACTGTTGAAATTCACTGAGAAAAAATTTTTTTCTCAGTGTGGGTAAAATTTTCTGGGGTTTGAAACATAGTTTTTTTGTGTATTTCTTCGTTTTTTTCATAAACTATGGGGCAATTAAATAGAATTGATTGAATTAGTGCACCCGGTGGAGACCTGCAGACCCTCATAGACGGCGACTTGGTGCCACTGGAGGGCGACGTTGTGCATTTCGTGAAGCAGCTGGTGGAGGGACTCGCCTACCTCCACGAGAGAAATATCGCTCATTTGGACATCAAGGTAATGCTCCAGACGTGAAAGTCAAACTCGATTTTTCGTATGTATACCCGCCTATGACCGATAACATACACTTCCTTATTCTCATATCGTATTGCAAAAAATTGCATTTCAAAAGCACCAGAAAATCTTGTTTCGCCATAACGAGTTCCTCATATCGAGATTTTTTTGTAGCCCAGGGAGAGGCGTAACTCCATTAATTCGATACTTCATCAATGAAAATTTCTTCAATATTTCTGTTTGGAAGAAATTGGAATTTCATGGAATCTTGATCAAGTGATCATTTTCAGAAACGTTACGTTGAATTCGTGTGAGGTGAAAACAGCCTTATAAAATCCAAAGTCCCAGTGGAAATAGGATCAAACTCGCTTAAACATCCTATCAATTTAAGATTGAGATGTATATTTCCCCTTGGCATTTCCGAATTTTTCTTATTTCTGACCGAATAATTGGTTTAAAGAACCAAACCGTTTTCGTTGACTCTCTTATAAATTTGTGGTTTTTCAAAAATGAGCGGAACTTCAGCGGAATTTTTCGAACAGTGACAAAAAAAGAACTAATATAATTACAATCCATTTTTTTATGTCAATACTAGTATGAAATTGACTTTAACGATCAATTATGGCATTCGAGTTTTCTCATTTATCACAAACTCGCAGTTTCTAATTATTGTCTCATCAAATCGTGGATTTCCAATGATGAGATTTCCAGAAATTTCAGTGGAACTGTGACTCGTTGAAAATTTCATAATATTTCAATTTCCTGAAATTTCAACTGAAAATTTTAAACAGTGATGTAAACAAAAATAATCTCAGGAATAATAAAATTCACTGGTTGATGTAAACACAACCTGCTAGTTTCTCATCTATAAAAATCCCAAGATCCCCTCACATTGGTACCTGATTCGCGATAAGATAACTCTCGCAAACAAATTGAATTTCGCCGAGTCGAGGATTTGGTTCTGATTGGACGTACACAGGTCTTTTAAGATCTCTCCAGACCTAGATTGACCTGGTAAGTCCTAATCAGGTTCTGCGACGTACCTTTCCGGAGACCTTTCGAATCCTCAGTTTTTTCGGTCCTGAGAAGTCCTCCTCTATGCTACCGAGACCGCGGGATTTCACGAGGGGGTGGAGGGGAAGGCATGTATGCGGAGGGTTGGAATTTGTAGGCAACGAGGAGACAGGGTTGCAGAATATATTTTAGCCACCCTCATCTCCCCGTTTGCAGGCGGGGTTTAAATAAAAAATAGTGAACGTTGATTCTGTATTTATTGACCCCCTGATGCCAGTGAAACTCTCGGAGGTGACAGAAAAGACGAAAAAAAAATTTTCATTTTCACGTGGATCAAGGGTCAGGGTGAAAGTCGATTTTCGCCAAAACTGAATTTTTTCGCCAAATGAAGGTTGATACTGTATTTTCTAACGATTCTGATGCCATGATACCCCCGGAGGCGCGACAAATGCCGAAATAAAATTTTTTTTTTTTTCACTCGGAGCCAAAGGGTTAAATCCTCAGTTTTGCCAGGGGGAAAGTCGACTTTCGCCAGAATAGAATTTTTCATCCGGGTGAACGTCGATTCCAACTATTTAAGCATCGGGCTATTCAGAACTCTCAAAAGTATGTGGAAAAAGTGAAAACTGAAAAAAAAATTTTTTCATCGGAGGCCAAAGTGTCGGATCTTGGATTTTTCCGGGGGGAAAGTCGGTCCAAGGGTCACAAGGGTCAAAGTGTCAGATCTTGGATTTTTCGCCAAAATCGAATTTTTTAGCCGGGTGAACGTTGATTCCAACTATTTAAGCGACGGGCTATTCACAACCATCAAAATTATGTGGAAGAAGTGAAAAATAAAAAAAAAAATTTTTCACCGGAGGCCAAAGTGTCGGATCTTGGATTTTTCCGGGGGGAAAGTCGGTCCAAGGGTCAAAGTGCCGGATCTTGGATTTTTCCGGGGGGAAAGTCGGTCCAAGGGTCACAAGGGTCAAAGTGTCAGATCTTGGATTTTTTGCCAAAATCGAATTTTTTAGCCGGGAGAACGTTGATTCTAACTATTTAAGCGACGAGCTATTCAGAACTCTCAAAAGTATGTGGAAAAAGTGAAAACTGAAAAAAAAAATGTTTTCACCGGGGGCCAAAGTGTCAGATCTTGGATTTTTTGCCAAAATCGAATTTTTTAGCCGGGAGAACGTTGATTCTAACTATTTAAGCGACGAGCTATTCAGAACTCTCAAAAGTATGTGGAAAAAGTGAAAACTGAAAAAAAAAATGTTTTCACCGGGGGCCAAAGTGTCAGATCTTGGATTTTTTGCCAAAATCGAATTTTTTAGCCGGGAGAACGTTGATTCTAACTATTTAAGCGACGAGCTATTCAGAACTCTCAAAAGTATGTGGAAAAAGTGAAAACTGAAAAAAAAAATGTTTTCACCGGGGGCCAAAGTGTCAGATCTTGGATTTTTTGCCAAAATCGAATTTTTTAGCCGGGAGAACGTTGATTCTAACTATTTAAGCGACGAGCTATTCAGAACTCTCAAAAGTATGTGGAAAAAGTGAAAACTGAAAAAAAAAATGTTTTCACCGGGGGCCAAAGTGTCAGATCTTGGATTTTTTGCCAAAATCGAATTTTTTAGCCGGGAGAACGTTGATTCTAACTATTTAAGCGACGAGCTATTCAGAACTCTCAAAAGTATGTGGAAAAAGTGAAAACTGAAAAAAAAAATGTTTTCACCGGGGGCCAAAGTGTCAGATCTTGGATTTTTTGCCAAAATCGAATTTTTTAGCCGGGAGAACGTTGATTCTAACTATTTAAGCGACGAGCTATTCAGAACTCTCAAAAGTATGTGGAAAAAGTGAAAACTGAAAAAAAAAATGTTTTCACCGGGGGCCAAAGTGTCAGATCTTGGATTTTTTGCCAAAATCGAATTTTTTAGCCGGGAGAACGTTGATTCTAACTATTTAAGCGACGAGCTATTCAGAACTCTCAAAAGTATGTGGAAAAAGTGAAAACTGAAAAAAAAAATGTTTTCACCGGGGGCCAAAGTGTCAGATCTTGGATTTTTTGCCAAAATCGAATTTTTTAGCCGGGAGAACGTTGATTCTAACTATTTAAGCGACGAGCTATTCAGAACTCTCAAAAGTATGTGGAAAAAGTGAAAACTGAAAAAAAAAATGTTTTCACCGGGGGCCAAAGTGTCAGATCTTGGATTTTTTGCCAAAATCGAATTTTTTAGCCGGGAGAACGTTGATTCTAACTATTTAAGCGACGAGCTATTCAGAACTCTCAAAAGTATGTGGAAAAAGTGAAAACTGAAAAAAAAAATGTTTTCACCGGGGGCCAAAGTGTCAGATCTTGGATTTTTTGCCAAAATCGAATTTTTTAGCCGGGAGAACGTTGATTCTAACTATTTAAGCGACGAGCTATTCAGAACTCTCAAAAGTATGTGGAAAAAGTGAAAACTGAAAAAAAAAATGTTTTCACCGGGGGCCAAAGTGTCAGATCTTGGATTTTTTGCCAAAATCGAATTTTTTAGCCGGGAGAACGTTGATTCTAACTATTTAAGCGACGAGCTATTCAGAACTCTCAAAAGTATGTGGAAAAAGTGAAAACTGAAAAAAAAAATGTTTTCACCGGGGGCCAAAGTGTCAGATCTTGGATTTTTTGCCAAAATCGAATTTTTTAGCCGGGAGAACGTTGATTCTAACTATTTAAGCGACGAGCTATTCAGAACTCTCAAAAGTATGTGGAAAAAGTGAAAACTGAAAAAAAAAATGTTTTCACCGGGGGCCAAAGTGTCAGATCTTGGATTTTTTGCCAAAATCGAATTTTTTAGCCGGGAGAACGTTGATTCTAACTATTTAAGCGACGAGCTATTCAGAACTCTCAAAAGTATGTGGAAAAAGTGAAAACTGAAAAAAAAAATGTTTTCACCGGGGGCCAAAGTGTCAGATCTTGGATTTTTTGCCAAAATCGAATTTTTTAGCCGGGAGAACGTTGATTCTAACTATTTAAGCGACGAGCTATTCAGAACTCTCAAAAGTATGTGGAAAAAGTGAAAACTCTAAAATTTGTTTTTTTCACATTTTCAAAGGGTCAGATTTTCGGTTTTGCCAGGGGGAAAGTCGACTTTCGCCAAAATCGAATTTTTTAGCCGGGTGAACGTTGATTCCAACTATTTAAGCGACGGGCTATTCAGAACTCTCAAAAGTATGTGGAAAAAGTGAAAACTGAGAAACCGTTTTTTTTGGCCCCAGCCAAAGGGTCAGATCTTGGATTTTTTCAAGAGGAAAGTCGACTTTCGCCAAAATCGAATTATTTCGCCAAGTGAAGGATGATTCTATATTTATTGACTGCTCTAATGCCAATGACACCCTCGGAGGCGCCAGAAATGTCGAAATAAAAAATTTTCATTTTCATTTTCACTTGTCAGGTCCAATTAGTCGACTCGGAATCAACAAAAAGCTTTCCAGACATAATTAATATCCACTGTTTGATGTAATAAACATTACCGGCATATTTCTCATCCATAAAAATCGCAAGATCCCCACATCGCAAGAACCACCCACATCTTAGTCGGTAAGAGTGCCCGGCGCGTATCTGGGAGACCCGGGTTCGATTCCCGGCTGGGTGAAGCGGAAATTTTTTCTCTCTAAATTCTAATTCTCTTGACAGGTGGTTAACATGTGGGTAAGGGTTCTTTATTTCACCTCCCGTGGTTACACCGTATATTTCCTTACGGCTCTTCACTTTTCCTCATCCTCATCACAACGGAAAAATATTGTCCGGGGAGTCGTTATAAGATTTTTTACTCGTAGGGAGTTGGTCCAGTAAAAAATGCAAGGAAATATACTATTTCGTCTCGGCGTAGGCGCAAAGTCAGATTTTCCTCCCGCGAATCGGGAAGGAAATGTGCACTTTGCGGTCGCCGGGGCGATAAAAATAATCTCAGAAACACTTAACATACACTGTTTGATGTAAGCACTACCTGCTAGTCTCTCCTCTATAAAAA